CTCGCACGATCGTGTGCAGAATGAAGGAGAGAATCTGGTGGAGAAAAAGTGGCTTTTATCGTTAAACATGCAACTCTTAATACCTTTCACACTTGTATTTTGTTTATAGTGTACTAGGTTTATATTAGTAGTAATAGTATGTTGTTCTACTACAGTGTAAATCTAATAATTAAAGGGGACCTATCATGCAAAATGCACTTGTCTACGTCTTTTCTACATGAATATGTGTCCCCGGTGTTCCAGGGAACTCACCAAGTGTCAGAAAACACAACCCTCTCTATTTTCCTCCATACCCAAATCTCTAAAAAAGGGGCTGCAACGGATCTGATAAAAACTGATCCAGATTTGAACACTGTCCTGACGTCAGGACGGTGGCGCTACGGCTATTGGGCCAACTCCACCAATCAGGAGGAGACAGCCACGGCCATTGCCGTTCGAAAGCGCTGGAGACGCTGTAGTACATATGCCAGGCCGATAGATGGTGCTGTTCTCACTGAATCAGCCCTTGCTAAAACAGAGCTAAAAAATGTCAAATTGAGCAAAATGAGGCATGGCTAAAATGCATGATCTGTTTGGTATTTTGAAAAAAAAAAAGTATAAATATGCCTTATATAGGTATGGTCCTACACTATATTATTCAAATATAGCATGATAGGTCCACTTTAATATAATCTAATATAATCTAAATGAGATGCAGTACCTCTGTTGTACAGCAGGTGTCGCTGTTATACCTCTCTATATATATATAGCATATTTACAGAACATATGTGATATTTGAGGAGCTGTATTTCCATGTGAGCGTGTCCTGTTTGAACATGTTTACATCTCTCATAAATTGTTTATTGTGCATAAATTAAACTGATTACTTTTAGTTCATTTTGATGCTATTACTGTTGACTGCTTTTACTAAAGTGAGATTTCTACACTGCAGTGTTCAGTATTCAACATTTACTCAAGTGTTGTACACAACATACTTGTACTTTATATAAGCATTTGTCTTGTACGTTACATATACCTCTAGTCCAATACAGTTTGGAAGCAAATATTTACATGTATTTAACATTCATAAAACGTGATGAAGTACTAATATACCCAGTACTTCACAAGGTAGATTATTTACAGTTTGGCTCCACATTGAGGAACTTCAACACTAAAATGCTCTGTATTTTTTAATGATAAAATGAATATACTTAAGTACAGTACTTGAATATAAGTACTGTCGACCAATGATAACATCATGATGTGTTCAATGTCATCATGTAAAATGTAGTTTTTAATGAGTACATGTAATAAAAACAGCTGTTCGATGATATGTTTTCACAGCAGCATTAAACAGACATAAAAAGGTTATTATGACCTTTTAACTTCCTAAAACTAGCAGATTAGACCTCGTTAAAACTAGTAATGTCAACATTTGTTTCATTATTAACACCACTGTTAATTCATGGTGGGATATGGGACATACATGTGCATCCCCTAAAAGCCTGAAATATCCTATACAGATATACATATATGTATATCTTTATATATATAGATATACATATATGTATATCTATATATGAATCCCCTCCTCTGTCCCCTGAGAGTTGTGTACCTGCAGAGGAAGGTTCCTCACGAGGCAGCTGGCTCCGAACCCCACCAGCAGCAGGTTGGTGAAGACGAACGCTCGCGTGGCGTTCACGATCTTCTGTATATGTTTGTCGGGGCGTCGAGGCTGACCCGGCTCCCTGAGGAGAACACAGAGTAAATAAATCAATACAAATCCATCATCCTCTCATCTATCATCTCTTCTTTTCGTCTGTGTGCGTTTGAAGTCGGAATATGGACCAGTATTAAAATCACAGGAAGCAGAATACTCTTTCCATTTTAAATTCTGATATACAGTACGGCACATATTGTATTTTTTAGGTCATTTTTAGTATTTTAATTGACCTTACTTTTTTTAATATTTATATATCTTGTAAACATTCCTCATTTTAAAATTGTTTTTACAATTATTTTCGAAATATTTCTGTATTAATTCTCTTATTTTGTTTAGGTATGCTCCATTATACACTTTTTGTAATGGTATTTTAACTAATAAATGGACGTATTGTGGAGCTGAAGAGATTTCCTGGCCTACAAATCGTATTCTACAAACTTTATAAAAGATAAATCTTGTTTGGAACAGACCCTCTTAATCAATCAATCAATCAGACAGTCCTTTAAATAATGTGAATTTCAGTCAAACTAATCACAATAAGCGGTTTTTAAATGTCTGTGTTTATGTGTGTTAACTAGGGCTGCAGAAGTTAATGAACTAGTAAAGACATTCAAACTGCAGGAAGCACAATTATATTAAAGGCTAAATACGTGTTAAAATGTTATTGTAGTGGCAATTTGTCCAAATAAAATATACTCAAAATCAATCTGCCTCAGAGGCACCAGGTAGCGAATCTTATGCAGGAAAAAGTCCAGACAATAATTTACCATTAACATGTTCTATATAGTTTTAAGTAAATTAACTGAGCACTCCTTTGGGTGATACCGATTTTACTTAAAGGGGGCCGATCATGCAAAATGCACTTTTGTACGTCTTTTCTACATGAATATGTGTCCCCGGTGTTCCAGGGAACTCACCAAGTGTCAGAAAACACAACCCTCTCTATTTTCCTCCATACCCAAATCTCTAAAAAAGGGGCTGCAACGGATCTGATAAAAACTGATCCAGATTTGAACACTGTCCTGACGTCAGGACGGTGGAGCTACGGCTATTGGGCCAACTCCACCAATCAGGAGGAGACAGCCACGGCCATTGCCGTTCGAAAGCGCTGGAGACGTTGTAGTACATATGCCAGGCCAGTAGATGGTGCTGTTCTCACAGAATCAATATCAATAATTTACCATTAACATGTTCCATATAGTTTTAAGTAAATTAACTAAGCACTCCTTTTGGGTGATACCGCTTTTACTTAAGTCAAACATATGAATATTTCCTCTACTTTTGACTTAGTGCTTGCTTGTTTCTATGTGCATCCTCCTCTAAACCCTTCATATTTCATGTTCACTTCGCTGATCAAACAAATCATCAAACAACACGAAGAACAATGGCTTTTACCTCCTCTTTTGCAATGCTAAAAAGACACAAAAAACTCCCAAATTTGGATCAATAAGGTACCTCTTATCTTATCTTATCTTATATGCTAAGCCGTCGCCAACCACACCTGTCTACCAATATTGCAATATCACTCAAAATAATTGGTCTTTTTGTGGTAAAATATTTCATATATGTTCATTTGTTGTCTTTTTGTAGTAATTGAATGTTCCTTTGGGTCGTTTTATGGCCTCTTTTGTGTCTCTGTAGTCATTTTGTGTCTCTGTAGTCATTTTGTGTCTCTGTAGTCATTTTGTGTCTCTGGAGTCACTTTGTGTCTCTGTAGTCATTTTGTGTCTCTGTAGTCATTTTGTGTCTCTGGAGTCATTTTGTGTCTCTGGAGTCATTTTGTGTCCCTTTTTTATATTTCTTTGTGACTCAAAGTCTGTTTGTTGTAATCTTGTACCTGTGATATCTCTTAGTAATTGGTTTTCTTGTTCACATGTTTTTTTGTGGTTGTTTTGCATCTCTTAAAGTAAAATAATTGCAATTAGTTATTTTTCATAGTGTTTTGTGGGTGCTTCCTCACCTCGGGGTGACTTTATCTTTGTCGTCTTCGCAGTCTTTGAGCTTCCAGTCCATCACGTATCCGATCACAGGAGAAGTGATGAGACAGAGGAGCTGCAGGACGCCAAAGATCGACGTGTAGACGCTCACTGAGGGACGGGAGAAAAGGGTTATTGAGCTTTGATTTTGGCTTTTTGTAACGTTTTGAACATGAAATATGAAGGATTTGGAGGAAGATGCACATAGAAACACAAAGTCAAAGGTGGAGGAAATATTCAGATGTTTAAGTAAAAGTGGAAAAAGTACTTCTTTACCCAAGTAAAAGTACAAATACTATGGTCTTAAAATACTCCGTTAGTAAAAGTAGAAATACTATGGCCTTAAAATACTCCGTTAGTAAAAGTAGAAATACTATGGCCTTAAAATACTCCGTTAGTAAAAGTAGTAATACTATGGTCTTAAAATACTCCGTTAGTAAAAGTAGAAATACTATGGCCTTAAAATACTCCGTTAGTAAAAGTAGAAATACTATGGCCTTAAAATACTCCGTTAGTAAAAGTAGAAATACTATGGCCTTAAAATACTCTGTTACAAGTGAAAGTACAAATACTATGGTCTTAAAATACTCCGTTAGTAAAAGTAGAAATACTATGGTCTTAAAATACTCTGTTACAAGTGAAAGTACAAATACTATGGTCTTAAAATACTCCGTTAGTAAAAGTAGAAATACTATGGCCTTAAAATACTCCAGTACAAGTAAAAGTAGAAATACTATGGTCTTAAAATACTCCAGTACAAGTAAAAGTCCTGATTGGAAAATATGACTTATACATATTCAGGGGGGAATTGGGCTTTGTAACAGTTGCTCTATTTAACAATGAAATAAAATAACATATGCATACATATAAGAAGAAAAAGTATATAAATATACCAATAAATACGTAAACATTTGTATAGTTAATTGGTGTAGTATCACTAATCTATCTCTCTATTTCTATGATAATAATATAATACTACATTTTTTATTCATCTTTTTATTATACTTCTATACTTCCTACTATACTTTTACTTGTAATATAGTATTTTAAGATCACAGTATTTCTACTTTTACTCCAGTAAAGGATATCGTTTGATGGTTTATCAATGAATCCATAGTGGAAACAAACAGCTGGAGAAATTGGGATTCTTTGTGATTCAAGCCTGAAGTTTCTTACCCACTTGCATCTTCTCCACTGAAACAGCAGCAAGAAGCCAGCGCGGCGGAAAGTGAAAGAGTAGTGGAGGGAGGAAAGATGAAGCAGAGTTAACAACGAGGCGCTGAAGCTGAGCAGAAAGCAGCAGAGAGAGGATGTTAGTGAGCAGAAAGAAAAGTGAACATAGTCCTGAGAGAAAGAAAACATCCACAGCAACACAGTTCACTTTCTGACCACTAAACGTCATCATACCCAACATTAGCCACCTTTAGCTTAGCGGTGGTGACGTGAAGTCATGTGACCGTGCTGTAGTTCCTTTATAGCCCAATATTAGCCCCCTTTAGCTTAGCGGTGCTGACGTGAAGTCATGTGACCGTGCTGTAGTTCCTTTATAGCCCAACATTAGCCGCCTTTAGCTTAGCGGTGGTGACGTGAAGTCATGTGACCGTGCTGTAGTTCCTCTATAGCCCAACATTAGCCGCCTTTAGCTTAGCGGTGCTGACGTGAAGTCATGTGACCGTGCTGTAGTTCCTTATTTATAACCCAACATTAGCCACCTTTAGCTTAGCGGTGGTGACGTGAAGTCATGTGACCGTGCTGTAGTTCCTCTATAGCCCAACATTAGCCACCTTTAGCTTAGCGGTGGTGACGTGAAGTCATGTGACCGTGCTGTAGTTCCTTATTTATAGCCCAACATTAGCCGCCTTTAGCTTAGCGGTGGTGACGTGAAGTCATGTGACCGTGCTGTAGTTCCTTTAAAGCCCAACATTAGCCACCTTTAGCTTAGCGGTGGTGACGTGAAGTCATGTGACCGTGCTGTAGTTCCTTTATAGCCCAACATTAGCCGCCTTTAGCTTAGCGGTGGTGACGTGAAGTCATGTGACCGTGCTGTAGTTCCTTTAAAGCCCAACATTAGCCACCTTTAGCTTAGCGGTGGTGACGTGAAGTCATGTGACCGTGCTGTAGTTCCTTTATAGCCCAACATTAGCCACCTTTAGCTTAGCGGTGGTGATGTGAAGTCATGTGACCGTGCTGTAGTTCCTTTATAGCCCAACATTAGCCACCTTTAGCTTAGCGGTGGTGACGTGAATTCATGTGACCGTGCTGTAGTTCCTTTATAGCCCAACATTAGCCACCTTTAGCTTAGCGGTGATGACGTGAAGTGATGTGCCCGTGCTGTAGTTCCTTTATAGCCCAACATTAGCCGCCTTTAGCTTAGCGGTGGTGACGTGAAGTCATGTGACCGTGCTGTAGTTCCTTTATAGCCCAACATTAGCCACCTTTAGCTTAGCGGTGGTGACGTGAAGTCATGTGACCGTGCTGTAGTTCCTCTATAGCCCAACATTAGCCTCCTTTAGCTTAGCGGTGATGACGTGAAGTCATGTGCCCGTGCTGTAGTTCCTTTATAGCCCAACATTAGCCACCTTTAGCTTAGCGGTGGTGACGTGAAGTCATGTGACCGTGCTGTAGTTCCTCTATAGCCCAACATTAGCCTCCTTTAGCTTAGCGGTGATGACGTGAAGTCATGTGCCCGGGCTGTAGTTCCTTTATAGCCCAACATTAGCCTCCTTTAGCTTAGCGGTGCTGACGTGAAGTCATGTGACCGCGCTGTAGTTCCTTATTGTGTGTTTATACAGTGTTTAATCTCACCGGTGCTGAGGTCTCCCTCCGTCAGAGACTCCAAGATGGTGTTCATGGCTCCCATGTAGAAGATGAGGCGAAGCTGCGTCACACACATGGTGATGAGGCTCAGCATGAAGATGGGGCTGAAGATACTCTTCATGAAGGACTGAGCTGCACAGGAAATGAAATAAGAAGAGGTCATTATGAATAAAAACAACCTTGGCTATCATCCTGCTGGCACCATGTCACGTTTACATACCAAACTAGAACAGGGTGGCCAAGCTAAATAAATAATGACCATAATGCAGGGGTGGAAGAAACATTTGCACAAGGCTTTTTAGGTTCAAGTACCATGTACTTACTTGTACTCCACTACAATATGGAAGCAAATATTGTACTTTTTACTACTGTACAATTATTTATAGTTATTATATAGTCCGTTAACAAGTCATCTCCACCTTTACCAGCTCTAACATTTAAAATGATGAACTGATTAATGGATCGCCATTATGCTTCATAAGAAATATTATTTGTGGTTCTTTGCTACTAGATTTACTTGTCACAGAGTATTTCTACACTGTGGTATTACTACTTATACTTAAAAGGGGGCCTATTCTGCTTTTTAGGGTTTAATTGGGCTAATAAATTGATATCTAGCTGAGAGGAATGAGAGGTGCAGTGAGTAATGTAACAGCTCCTGACAGATGGAAAATGTCCAGCTGTTATGAAATTAACAATGACTGCAACGCTACAATGCTTCTCTCAGGCTCTGAAACCAAACACCTGCTGAGTGGCTTTCTAAAATCAGGGTCTGAACATATTCCACGGTCCATTTGTTACCAAAGAGAGCGAGAGGTGTGGGGGAAACGGACGTTAGCTTAGCATGGATTTAGGGCGGAGGTAACACAGGCTAATGGGACTAATTGTTTTGTACAGATGTAGGTCCGAGCTGGGGTCTGAGGGTTCATACGGATATTTAATTAAAATTCAAGCACTTTTAAGGTAGTGTGGAAGACCTTATTGTCCACTAAGAAGTCCTTGAACAATGACAAAGCGCAACTGTAACTTCCTGTTTGTCTTCTTCTACTGTTCCCATTAGTGTTTACATCCTGTCTGTCTTGCAGAAATGGCAAAAGTACACACATCCTTTACTCAAGTAGAAGTACAGATACTGGTGTTTAAAAATACTCTTTTTATGAATATAGCTGTCATATCATGTGACAAAACGAGAAGCATGGCTGCAAGTGTGAGTGCTATTGCCGATGTGCCTCAGCTTGAAGACAAAAAAGACGGTTACATCTCCGACAGCGAGGGCAAGCCTACGGACACCACGAGGCCTGTCTGTAAGAAAATGTTCCCTCTATTTTGAATTTTGACAAAAAAGTTGTTTGAGATGATGCTGCTATTTTAGTCAATTGTCATTTCACCTTGAATACCATTGCTTTAATTTATTTTATTTATAGTTCTCATTGTTCAAAAGTTTGTGTTATGACTGAACATTTTTTCCAGGTTTGAAATAAAGCACAATAATGACATTTAAGACGGGTTCCCCTTTTTTTAGAGAAAGGTATCGAAATCGCAATTCTTGACTTGGTATCGGTACCGAAACAAAAATGTTGGTATCGTAACAACACTAGTTTGACGTGTATTTTCCTGCAGACTCACCCGGTTCCTGGTCCTTGGATTTGACCTCCAGGTCGACGGTGGACAGGCACAGTTTGTTGGCCTCCTGCGTTGCCAGGTCCTTGTTCGGCTGTTTCTGCTTCATGGAGTTTCCCACGCTGAGGCGGCGGCCCACCGTCGTCACCTGCTGGTAAAACTGCTTCCCTGTGATCTTGTGGTCGAAGCCCAGCCAGCTGAACTTGATCTTAACCCTGCAGGTGGAGGAGAGAAGAGGCGGTGAAGAGGAGGTTTTGAGCGCAAAATACAGAGAACCGTGAAATAGTGTGATTCTGTGTCACTTTGTCTGTTTGAAGTCAATCTGAGTCATTTTGTGTAATTTGATGTCTCTATGAGTTCTTTAAGTGACTGTTTGAAGTCACTTAGAGTCATTTTGTGTAATTTGATGTCTCTATGAGTTCTTTAAGTGACTGTTTGAAGTCAATCTGAGTCATTTTGTGTAATTTTATGTCTCTATGAGTTCTTTAAGTGACTGTTTGAAGTCACTTTTAGTTATTTTGTGTCATTTTATATCTCTATGTGGTTGCTTTAGGTCTCTTTTTGTCTTTTTCTGAAATGTAATATACAGGTTTTTTGAGTCTCTTTGTGGTCGTCTTCTATTTGTAATTGGTCTACTTGGGGTTATATATTTATTATATGGTCATTTTGTGTCTTTTTAGTAATTGTGTGTCTCCTTTTTTGAATTTTGTGCCTCTGTGGTCATTTGTATTTGTTTTGCATTTTTTTACTCCATTTAAAGTTTATTTTTAGTCATTCTGAGTCTCTTCCTTGTCTTTGCACGTGTCTTTCCGTGGTATTTTGCAGGTGAAGGCCAGGGGGGATGTGAATACTTAGGATGAATTCAGTAATCGACCAATAAAGAGATGGATGAGGAAAGAAAACCAGAAGAAGATACATGAGCCGAGTAAAAGGAGGAAAGAAAGTGTCCAGGCGACTGTGAGCAAATCCAGCCGATCATCTGGTTTTAAAGTCTTTCCTGTCCATGAAATGTTTTCCATGTGTGTGAGGAGATCTCTGCGGAGAATCTCTCTACAGAAACCTGTGTGTGTGTGTGTGTGTGTGTGTGTGTGTGTGTGTGTGTGTGTGTGTGTGTGTGTGTGTGTGTGTGTGTGTGTGTGTGTGTGTGTGTGTGTGTGTGAGTGTGTGAGTGTGTGAGTGTGTGAGTGTGTGTGTGTGTGTGTGTGTGTGTGTGTGTGTGTGGGTGTGGGGCTGTGTGTGTGTGGGTGTGTGTGGCTGTGTGTGTGTGTGTGGAAATCCCGTTACTCCCAGAAATCCCGTTACGAAAGAACTAGAAACTAGAACTACCAACTAAAGAACTAACCAAAGAATTACAAACTACAAACTAAAGAACTAGAAATCCCGATACTCCCCACTCACAGAAATTCTGTTACTCCCAGAAAACCTGTTAATCCCTGAAATCCCGTTACTCTCTGATATCCCGTTACTCTCAGGAATCCCGTTCCTGTTAGTCCCCGAAATCCCGTTACCCCCCGAAATCCCGTTACCCCCCGAAATCCCGTTACACCCAGAAATCCCCTTTATTCTCACGTGTAGTCCATGTCCTCTGGGCTGGGGAACGGCTCCAGAGGCCAGTTGATGAAACAGTTGAGGAAGACGAGGCAGGCGCAGGCAGCCCAGACCAGAAGGATGATGATGAAGGTGGCGCCCAGATCGTAGATCACCTAAAGTCATCAGAATCAGAATCAGAATACCTTTAACCCTTACCCTAACTCTCATGAAAAAAGAATCAACATAAATAACTGGGTTGTTATGTGTTTGATGTGCAGATGAGGCATTATTTTATAACTGTTGGTGAATTAAGGAGGAATTTATTTATTACAAACTTTGTAATAAATATGTGTTTTTGTAATGTTTATTCCCACTACTTTGACTATAGACATTTTATGGAAGCAACAATAGCCCAAAAAAGTGTTTAAAAGCCTTTCCATAACAAAACAAATGCACATTTGTGTTTAAAATCCAGTTTTTAATCAGCTTGACAAGATTTATAAGGATATTTTTCTTTCTATAATTGTCTCTCCAAATAACAATCATGAAAATCCAATTAATGGCAAATGCAAATAATTGTGCCCCACTATCACACTTGTATAATCTAGCTGGAAAAATGTATTTTAATGTGAAATGATGAGGCTGTTCTGTTCGTTAGGACACATCACATAACACATGAACTCAATGAGACATTGTTTTGCATGGATCACCTACAAATGTCTGAAGTGTTGTTATTAAAACAAGACTTTTTGAGACGATGTTTGACCTTAAATGATGAAAAACAACGTTGAAATGACTCCTGGGAGCCCCTTTATGGGATGGATGAGGAACAATGGATGGATATGTGTTGTTATTTACAGCAGAGATCAGTTGTTACCTTGATGCCGGGGAAGGTGACGGCGGAGGAGGCGTAGGATCCGATCATCAGAGCGATGAACGTCGACCTCAAGTCTCCAAACATGCTGGGGAGCTGAAGAGAAGAAGAGATATGTGGTTACTAACAATAATCAATCTTTCAGTTTGTGTGTACAGACAGAGAGATCGAAATACCGTTTCCCACAATCCCAAATACAAAAATACAAATAAAAAAGTGAGCTTGTATTCATTAAGTGAATTTTATTTTTTTTAAATTGAAGTTATTTCTGAAAATAAAAATTATTTTTAAAAGTCAGGTCATTTTTTGAAAACCAGATAATGTTTAAAACAATGAGTTCATTTTCTTTTTTTAAATATATTTTCGAAAAAGGGAGATGATTTAAAAAAAATCATGTGGAAATGTACGCATTTTTCAGAAATTGATGACTGTTTGTAAATAAAGGATTATTTCGGATTATTCCAAGTCATCTTTGAGATAATTATCACTAGAGCAACACGGTCCATCCTGCACAAGCTGCTATTTTAAAATCTACAAGCTATTTTTTTCATTACCTAGAGGCAGATTTATTTTTAGAGTCACCCTGTCAATACGGTAAATATTGTTGTGACATTTAAGAGTCTGTTTGCTGACTTTGAGCAGCTCTCTTTTCATGCAACTGTTCTTCTGGTAGCTTTATAAAAACAATCTGTGTTGACACTACAATCCTCTGAAACCCACAAGCTCTGCTAAACGTTAAAAGTCTTAAATATTTCACACCGTATTGACAGGCAGCGCAGAGGACATGCTGTACTTTCTGCAGAGTGTTTGAAGTGCAGCAGAGAGAGTCTTGCATAATGACGCTCGACTCTTAACTTGGAGAAAGGAGGACGTGCCTTCGAGGAAGTAAGAAGCAGAACAAACTGCAACAGATGGCTGAGATATTAATGTACGCCATCTGGAGACAATATATAGCTTTAACCAGTGGGGAATACGTACATTTACTCAATGTGGGGGAAACTTCTGTGTAGCAATGCATTGAGTCACCGACTCAGGAAGGAGACACGGTGAGAGTTGGAGCTTTTAATGTCAAACACTGATGGGTTTATTCAGAGTATTCGGCCGGAGGATTCACATCACAAGTCAAAGAGTCAGAGGTTCTGACTTCGCAGGAGAGTTGCCACGTCAATTCTGAAGAGCCTCTCTCTATGCTAGACTGGTTCACAGAGAGTAATCAACATCTCTGAAGGAGTTGTAAACAGCTGGGAACACTGAGCCACCTGCGTCCGACACTCATGGCCTCAAGGATTTCACATCTTAGAGTCCACAAACACCGATAAAGAAGTGCCTCAGCGTTCTCACAACAAGTACCCTTCGTGCCAGACAAGTTGACCGGTCACAAACTGGTGACAACAACACATATGGCGCCAAGGCCTTTCCTTAAAGGAGATAACAGACGTCAGAGGAGATCATAAAACGTCACAGAGCAAAAGGTTAGATATCTAGAAGAATTATTCCTTAACACTCAAGTATTATCATTTTCAGCTACTCAAGAACACTTCAGATGGAAATATGTAGTGCTGGAAGAAATATTAAGATGCTTTACTTAAAAACAAAGTACTCATACCACACTGTCACAAGTCAAAGTAAATAAGTAAAAGTAACAAAAATCGAAAAATGAAGTTTAAGAAAATCCCCAAAAACGAATGGATTAATTCAAATTCAAATAAACTCACTAAATGTTTATACAATTTAGACGCCAACACATTTGTTATCTCAAAAAGCTGTTCTTGTTTCTATAGTCCCATAATAATGATAGAAACACATTTAATTAGAACAAAGTGCAGAGGTGCTCCAAATCACCCACAAGTGCATTCATATAGCCCCATAATAGTGATACAACATCATTTAAATACAAAAAAGTCAGATAAAAGCCTCTCCAGCACTAGTTTTATTCATAACAAACGTAATATTTGTCTAAATTAAGCACATAAAAGCATACTTTTTAAAGCTGTAATCATCTATTTTGCATTTATTACAGTGTTGGGATAAAACTCATATCCAGAATGCACTAACTTTCACCATTTCAAGGTGTTTTTATCGTCTTTGTCCTGATGTGAACTGTGCAAGATTTAAATTGAGATTGAAGGGATAATTATGGTCCCCTCTCATGTCCTCGTCCCCCCCCCCCCCCCTATCTGCTGCTGTGCTCCACAGGGGGGCATATGGAGGGTTTTGGGGGGGGGGGGGCAGCTTGTTAGGAAGTTACTTGAACCCACTCACCCCTCACAAATTAACTAACCGGATTAATTGGACCAAAAATGTCTGCTTTGTTACTGTACTCAAGTACATTGTTCTGGTATCAGTGCTTTACTCCACTACTTCTTTTTCTGACGACTGTTTACTTTCTACTTCTCACATTTTGAACCCAAATACCTGTACTTTCTACTTCTTACATGTTGAACACAAATACCTGTACTTTCTACTTCTTACATGTTGAACACAAATACCTGTACTTTCTACTTCTTACATGTTGAACACAAATACCTGTACTTTCTACTTCTTACATGTTGAACCCAAATACCTGTACTTTCTACTTCTTACATTTTGAACTCAAATACCTGTACTTTCTACTTCTTACATTTTGAACCCAAATACCTGAACTTTCTACTTCTTACATGTTGAACACAAATACCTGTACTTTCTACTTCTTACATGTTGAACCCAAATACCTGTACTTTCTACTTCTTACATTTCCCAAACAGGCTGGTTCCTTTAGTTTGAATGTGTGTTTGGTGGCGTGATCATTATTATTTAGAGTCATTGCGTGCCTATTGATTTGAACACGATCCGTGTATCCATCATTTCCTGGTCTTCTCTAAAGAAGAGGGACCAATGAAAACGTTGTCATGTTGCCGTTGTTCAGCATGGAAACATTCATTAGCTAACAATGACATTATTGTTCTATTAATATAAAGGGAGGTCAGGTACTCTTTAAAACAGCTGCTAGTTATGGGTACTTTTTACTGAAGTACATTTCAAAGCCCTCTTTACTTTGACTTGAGTAAAGAAGTTTAGTCAGTACTTCTACTTTTACCAGAGTATGTTTAAACACGAGTATCTGTACTTCTACTTGAGTAAAGGATGTGTGTACTTTTGCCATCTCTCTGCTGCTTCCCTGCCAGAAGATCCTAAATAACAAGATGGCAGACCTTTGGTCCAGTTGGTGGAGAAGTGGATTTGTTGTGTCATGAAGTTTCTGCAGTATCATCAGGTTCCCTCTATCACTTCCTCATCGTTCAGCCGCTGATAACGGATCACTTTTCATGGCCTGGATTCTCACTTGCATATGTTGGGCAATTTGCACTATTAGCACAAGTTGTGTAATTAGAATTATTCAGCATTATATCCTATGCAGACAGTTGAGAACGTTATGGGGGTTATTGAGGACGCTGAGTCCATTTCAGACATTTTCAGGATCAGTTTTAACCAGGGTTCGAGTTATAAACTGAGCTTTATGGGGGTCTTTAAACTTTAAAGCACGCGCGCGCACACACACACACTCAAACACACACACACAAACACACACATATAATGTAGAATAATACTTTTTTCCTATATTTATATATTTTCCCAAAAATAATGTGAATTTAAAAATCTACTACTCAGGGAAGAAGGCCTACTAGTTTCAATAAGGCCTAATTATTTCACAGTGGCACAGGATCGTTTGCCAATACAAGCACTTTTGTTCATGTTCAATTCATAATAACTTCTACAATTATAGTTGGATCTTTGTGTCTTGTTATATTATGGATGAAAATGTAATGTTTGTACAACTATATATATTTAATCTTACCAATGTAGGTGGGAACCGGGTTTGTTGGCTAGAAAATACTTCCAATTACCCAAAGGGGGCCTGAGTGAAACAGTTTGGGAACCACTGAGTTTAACAGACAGGTGAGATTGTTTTTAACACAAGAAGACAAACATTTAGCTGTAAAACAGAAACATCAAACAACTGATATGAATGGAAGCTACTGAAATGTGTCTGAATGTGGTAAACAGGCAAGCCCAACATTAGCCACCTTTAGCTTAGCGGTGGTGACGTGAAGTCATGTGACCGTGCTGTGGTTCCTTTATAGCCCAACATTAGCCACCTTTAGCTTAGCGGTGGTGACGTGAAGTCATGTGACCGTGCTGTAGTTCCTTTATAGCCCAACATTAGCCACCTTTAGCTTAGCGGTGGTGACGTGAAGTCATGTGACCGTGCTGTGGTTCCTTTATAGCCCAACATTAGCCACTTTTAGCTTAGCGGTGGTGACGTGAAGTCATGTGACCGTGCTGTAGTTCCTTTATAGCCCAACATTAGCCACCTTTAGCTTAGCGGTGGTGACGTGAAGTCATGTGACCGTGCTGTAGTTCCTTTATAGCCTAATGCTAGCCACCTACTGTGTTTAACCTTTTGTTATGATATGTTATGAATTGTAAAGTGTCCTTTAGTGTTATGAAAGGGTCTCCAAATAAAATTGATTATTTATTCATTATGATTATATAATAAAGTAATATGTCTGTACAATACACACACTCATATATTTAAAGTATTTGTATCTCTCTATGTCTGCTGCATGCATTTTGCTGTGTCACCGAAGACAGTTTAGCATTTTGCAAAATCACCCTTGAAGGCCTTCTTTACCTTGTATGGTCATTTTGATGCTCTTATTAGTTCCTTAAAATGTTACCAGAAAGCGGCAATATCTGTTTTCTCTGTGGGCTGATTTCGACTACGATGAGTAGTGTTGCAACCATTGCATATAAAGGGAACAAAATGAAAATGATTACCTCTACTCAAGACAATCTTTTTCAAATAAATAAGCAATCTGTCCAATCAAAAGTCCCCTAAATCGTCCAAATCGACCAAAAATGTATAAAAATCAGCCCACAGAGAGTACAAATGTTGGCATTTTCTGGTTAAAACTGCCATTCATTACCCTGAAAATGTCGGAAATGGACTCAGCATCCTCAAAAAAAACAAAAAACTGTTGTCCAAATAATGGTAATGAATTCTAACGCAATGTATGCTAATTGTGCAAATTGCCCAACATAGGCAGGTTAGCATC